CATCATCAAAAAAGGGAGATAGGAAACTGGCCGTAAAACGGCCCATCCCTCCCCTCCCTCACAAAGGGTGGATGGAGCAATAAGGCCACTAATGAAACCATCTGTCTGTCTGCAGAGCCCCGCCCTGGCCAGGCAGAGGCTCCACCCCCACCTGCCAGGGCCAGCTGAGTTTGCCTCTGCCTTTCCAGCTGCCCTGGCCCCTGCCCTAGTTGGGGGTGGCAGGGATTCCCGCAGCCTGAGACTAGCATGGCAACAGGACCAGGCTGTGGTTTAGGAATGACCAAGTCTTTGGGTGGGCAGAGTCCCGCCGAAGCTGCTCTTTGCTCTCTTGCCTGCCAGTCTTGTTCCTCTTGGACCTCCGTCCTTCCCTAGTCTGGCCTATGAAGCTCCTGCCTGGTTTACGGCCGATGGGATCCCGAATGCTGTGCAGCTGAAGAGGGTCGACTGAAGCTGGAGCATCCGTAACTCGAAGCCCACAGAGTAACAACACCTGCAAGAAAGCAAGATTTACTCCTTACCGGCAGATCGGAAGTATTTCAGAGGTGTTTCTGCATTAATCTTTTCTTGTTTGGCTGTGTAAGGTTGGCTATTATTTTATTTTTATTATTGTTGTTGTTGTTGTTGTTATATACACAGCAATGTGAAATCACAGCTGCTGGTTCTTTAGCTGGTGTTGGCCTTCATTCGTGCTGAATTCTTCTCCAAACCCTAGGATGTCGAAATTTGGGGTGGTGTATGTGTGGATCCAAGCAGGGTGTTTGCGGTGGACAGATGGGAATGTTGTCAATGCCCAGATTTTCTAAGTGCTGTCCAAAATGTTTCTGTGTGGCATTCCGTGTGCCAATAATCTCCAGGAACACCACAGCTGGTTTATGCCATAATCATTCAATTTCAGTTTTTAGATCTTGATACTCTGTGATGATGATCCCCTGGAATTCTTTGTCTTCTATTCTGCTGTCCCTGATATTGCCATATACATTATCCACGTCTTCCTGTTTTCAACTGCAGTTAAATCTGGTGTATAATGAGCCAGCCTTTATCCATTTGTATTCACAGTATTTTAATCTGCCTCTTCCCAACTTCCTTTTCAACTCATACGTTCTCACCCATTGTTTATTACTGGCATATGTGATAATTTTTACATATGTTCCAATGAATTGTTTAGGAGACTGTGTGATGCCGTTTATTATCTCAGTGATTTTCTTGCATGAGCTGAATGTACAATCTACTGTTTCTTCTGCATTTTTTGCACAATCTGCACATTTTAATATTATTTTTACGGTTGGTCACGCAGTCAGCCAGATGTTCAGACTGAATTTGGCATTTTTGTCCATGTATTGAGTCCCTCCAAGTGTTTGAGATAGGCAGATGTGGTTGTTTGAATGGTCTTAAAAGAACAATTGCAGAATGTAAGCTGTTCCAAATGAAACTGCATCTATAAAGTGTATTTATTATTTATTGTGCATTTATTGCTACAGCTGCTGTGCTACTCCATTGCCAAAGATACATAAACCTCGCTACAATTACCGATGCACATAATGTGCTAGTGTTCAGGAGTAGCATGATCTCCCTTCTCCCCAGACGCCTTTTGGTGAAGAGCCCTATTTCTCTGGTTCTCCCAAAAATCTACTAAGGGGGTGGGATACAGGGTGTCTTGGCAGAGGAAAACGCGGGGAAGCCGAGAGCTGGCAGGCCAGGACCCCCGTGTTGGGGCCTGTTTTGGGGATCCTGGAAGATAGTGAAGATTGTTCCTGCCTGCAGCTTGAAGACTGTTCATTCTGCCCTCCAGACAGGAAGCCCAGAGGGATGAGTCTCTCAGAGGGAGGGCTCTGCTCACCAGCATCTCCCAACTTCTTCCACAAATAGGTTTCAGGTGAGAAGCCTCACTGGAGCCTCTTAGACACCGAACTTCCCAAGCAGCAACGGGGGAGCCCCAAGAAGGGCATTGGGGGGAAATGAGCTGCCACAGGCACACTAAGGAATCCATTTAGATTTCAGCTGTCCTCAAATTTAAAACATGGTAGCTGAACGGAGGCTGGCTTTGTCTCTCATGACATCACCAGCCAAGCTGGTTGTAAGATGGGGGAGAGACGGAGAATGCAAATTGATCGTCGGAAGGAAGGGATCGGGCCCTGAGAGGCCAACTAACCTCAGAAGCCCCTTTTGACTGGTGATTCTCAAGAGCAGGTTAGCGGAAGGTTCAACCTCCGGGGCAACCCTGGTGCTGGACCTGCCCTAACCGCGCCTTCGCCCACGTTGCTAGCCCGGCCGTCGCGAGGGGCGCGCGGGGGTCGCCCGGAGCGCTCCAAGAGAGCTCGGAGCCGCCAACGCTCCTCCGGCGCCGCTCCGCCTCCCCAGCGTGAGCGGTCAAATCGAGGCAGCGGCAGAACCGGGGCTCCTGGAGCGCCAAGCGGCGTCTCCCCCGGCGGCGCCGGAACCCCCGGCCACCCCGCGAAGGAGCGGATGGACGGGCTCCAGAGCGTCGGCGAAGGCGCGCAGCTGCATCTGGTGAGAGCGCAGGGGCTGCGCGGAAGGCAGCGGGGAAGGCAGCGCGTGGCGGGATCCAGGCGGGCAAAGCCGACTGCGCCCCAAGCCTCGCACCGGCGCCGAGCGGGCAGAGGCTCCCTGCCCCCAGGGCTGCGGGGACCGCCAAGGGCTCAACGGAGAGTCCCCGGCGCAGCCCGGCTGGCAAGAGCCCGACGCTCCGGCCGGCTGCAGAAGCGGTGAGTCCGGCGTGGGCGGCGGGGAACGGGGGGCGGCTTCCCTCCCTCTCCCGCCCGGAACTTTCAGGCGGCGGCCGGAGGGCGCCCCACGCTCCCCTCTCCCCGACGGGCCGGGCTAGGGAGCAGGCTGGGCGGCGGGCGCAGCGGCAGCAGGGGAGGCGGGAGGCGGCTGGGCTCCTCGCCTTGACCGAAGGGGCGGCTCCGGGCGGGCGAGGACGGCGGGCGTCAGCGCCCATCCGAGGCCAGTGGCGGCGCGGTGGGCTGGCAGCACCGGGATCGGGTTCCGGCAATGCAGGTTCCGGACAGGGAGCCATCGACTCTTGGGCTCCTGCGTTGGCCAAAGGCAGCCCCCTCCCCGCATGTGATGGTGCCCAGGGCAGCCTTGGTGCAGCGGCCACCCCGTCTTCCTGACCGTCGGGAGGGAGGGAGGGAGGGGTGCGTCTCAAAGGAGCCGAAAGGCCGGGCTCTCCAGAAGCCGCCCAGGGGGATCCCGGGGATCTGGTGCCCCCCCCCCCAGTTGTCTGGATGTTATTTGGTTGTGTGGAAGGATTCTTCTCAGGGAAAGGAGGCTCCTGTGGGGATGGCGCTCCTGAAGACTCTGAGATGGAGAGGGTGGCATTTCTACCATGGGCCCACTTGTGTCAGTGCAGGAGCAGCCAGGAGGGCAGAGGCATTCACTGGGCAGAGGGAGCTTGGCTTGAACCTTGTGGGGGGGCTTTGTGTTGGATGAGCCCAGCCGCTTCGCTTGGGGTAAATTGTCATACTTTGCAAATACCCAACCTGGATTAATTCAGGGGTCACAGCTGGTGTGTGATGGAAAGTGAGCCCCAAGTTTAGTTCATAAGGTGCTTTCCTGCCCCCGTCCTTGGTGAGCCTTGGCCTGTCTTGGCTGGTTAAAACTCCACATGTTGGGCTGGGCTAGTTGGCAGCAGAGCACACGCATGATCACGGATGTGCTGGTGAATGATTTGATGATGTCACTTTGTGGGACTCAGCAAGAGATCCCCACCCCAGCCGGTTCCTTCCCTGATGTGTGGAGCAGGGCCCACAAGTCTCAGGAAGGCCAGAGTGGGGAGGGGTATGTGGGGAAGACAGTTGTCCACCCAGAGCCACTGACAAGGTCAGGCACCAATCAGAGGAAGAGCCCCCTGCCCTTCGACCCAGGGACCCCCTCCCCTTCCTGGACCTCCTGCTGTGTCCCAAGTGCCCTCCGAAGGCCCCTTGTCAAAGGGATCTCCCAGAGGTCCAGGCCCCTTCTTGCAGTCCTCTGCGCGAAGGAGCCGGGATTGTGCACAAGGCTCTCCTCTTCCTCCGGCCAGAATGGGCCAAGCAGCAACCAGGCAGAGAAGTGTGGAGACCAACTGAGTTAGGGTTGTTGTAGAGTCCGCTGGGGGCTGCTCCTGGTGGGCTCTGGGCCGTGGCTTCTGGCCTCCCGGCCACGCCCTGGGTATTACCAGCTGCCAGGTTTGTCCCATCTGAGCAGTGGGGCTCCCTGCCACGTCCCCCCACCCTCGGCAGTCACGTCCTGTTTCGAGAGCAAGGCACCTGGGCCCCCCTCTTGTGCTCAGGTTATCCGGAGACAAGAGAGAAAAGGGGGCAGGGAGAGGAAGGCAGTGGCTCTTCAGCCTTTCCAAGGTGGGGAGGGGGGGTGGCAGACTCTCCTCCCCCAAGAAGGGCTGCCCGTCCGCCCTGGGCAAACCTCCTGACTAGCTCCCAGCAGCACCTCCAGGTATGTGCCTTGGCTGTGGCATCAAAGTCTTTGGGTTTTGCCATTCCTGTGAGGTGCAGAAATGTCAGGATTCTGGCTGCGTTTGGCTGGATGGAAGGATTCTTGTCGGGAGAAAGAATTTTCCAAGTTCTGGCAGGTTAAATGAAAATGCAACCGGGTGGAACCGAGGATGGCGAAAGGGCAGATCCCAGAATGTTTTTGCAGGAGAGCGGCTGAAGGTTAGCAGGATCTGACACTCCCGTTCTACCTTTTCCGGCACCATCTGGGCTCTTGGTTAGCCAAACCAGCTTCTATAGGCAGCTCCTTGCCCAGATGCAGCCCCTGGGTCAGCCCCCAAAGGGCAGCTGTGTGTTGAGGGCGACTGCGAGGTCTTCATTCCCCTGTGTTTCTTCTGGTACCCACAGGCCACCCTCCGCCTGGGCAGGACAGCCCTTCCACGAAGGAGCAGGGAGGCTCCCTGGGAAGCTGCTTCCGCTCCAGTGGCAGCGCACGTGGGCGTCTCAGCGTGGTAGGCCCCTCTTCTGCTGGTTCTGCCGAGGGGGAAGCCTCGCCACCCGGGAAGCTTGCAGGCAAGAGCAGCTTCTGCTGTTGGGGAAGTGAAAGGGGGGGGGGTCCCTCCTTTCCCTTCACTTCTTTGGAGGCCAGAAGATCGGGGGTCCCCACCCCCAGACCCAATTTCTACAGAAGCCAGGCACATTTGCACCCAGGTGCCAACAGCATCGGAGCTGAGTGGGAGCAACATCAGGGAGAGGAAGAAGAGCCACCGCTGTTTAATTTGCTCTGAGAAAACCTCTTAATTAGCCTCATTTGGCAGCTCCCCAGCAGGCACCAGCACAGACCGAGGAAACGGGCATTTGGCACTTGGGGATGCTCTGAGCCGCCAGCCACTGAGCGTCATCGGGCTCCGCTGCTCCCAGCCCCACCGCTCGCTGGGTGGACTCGGGCCGGGCCTCAGTCGCCTGCCGGGCAGCCAGCTCTCCCCAGGCACCAGCCCTGCTGCCAGCCAGAATGAACGAAGTCCTGGACCCGGCGGCCAACCTGGGGGTGGTCTCGGCCACCACCTGCGTCTCCAAGGTGGAGCTCCGCATCTGCTGCAAGCACCTCCTCGACCGGGACACCCTCAACAAGTCGGACCCCTGCGTGGTCCTCCTCATGCAGTCCCAAGGACAGTGGGCGGAGGTAGGTGGGGAGCGGCTGCAGGGAGGGCGGAAGGGAGGGAGGCAGGGGGCGGCTGGAGACGGGTCCAGAGGAGAGCAAGCTGGGCAGGACCATCCAGGGGAGACCCCTGCGGCCAAAGTCCCAGCAGCGGCTCTCTGTCCTTCCGGGCTCACCCGTCTTCCCTCTGTCCTTTCAAGGAGCTCCCCAGCTCAGGGTCCTTCCAGTCTGCCGGCTGGACGGAAGTTCTCATCCCCCATAAGCAGCCAAGTCGTTCCAGGCTGCTCAAAAGCCCGACCTTTTAGCGGGTTGGGAAGGTCTGCTCCAGCCCCCCCCCTTCTCTCCACAAATGAGGGACAGGTGTGTTGCAATCCCATTGAGCAGCCCTGTCCCCGGATGAAGGTCTCTGTCCTTGCAGGTGACTGGAGATGGTCGCCCTGACTTTTGGGCAGGCCTGCGGGAGACTTTCTGAAGCCCAAGCATCTCCTAGGGATCGGCTGAGATCTTTCTAGCCGCCTGTTTTTCAGGGCCAGCAAAAGGACTCGGATGCCTCTCATCCGCCTGCTGGGTCCCTTTGGGCTTGTGGGTGAGGGTGCTGGTTTCTTCCTTCCTTTAAAGGAAGACCAGAGAACGGGGGTGCGTAGGACTCAAGAGATCTCGGGAGGGGGGGTAATCTGTGGGTCTGGGGCCAGAGGGGCAGAGGAGGAGGGCACAGACCAACTGCCTGCTTCCACCCAAGAGCACGAAGAAGGGTCTTTTCAGGAGGAGGCGTAAAGCCCTCACACTTAGTAGCAGCACAGGCATGAAAGTCTTTAAGGGATCTGCCCAACTCCCTTCCTGTAATCAGTTCCTGTTAATGGACTAAGCTAAATGGAGGGAGCTTTGCCACTTGACTGGCTGCTCTGAGAGTTCTGCCTTCCTCCCTGAAGGTGGCCTGGCTCCCCTCTTGGGGCCCCCGGGAGGGATGAGCTGCCAAGGGCTGGTTGCCATTTAACAGGTCAGCTGAAGCCTAAAAGGGGTGTAGATGCGGAGGTGGCTCCCTCCGGCCGAGCAGGAGCTCTTGGGGCTTTCCAGCTTCCTCTTCCCTGCTTCCTCCATCCACAGTGGAGGCCAGTTCTGCCCTGAGACCCAAAGTTAGGCTGCATGCAACGCTGTCGAGTCTGCGTGGCCCTCGCAAGGCCCCAAAGTAGCCTCCCCAGATGAAATGCACCCAAGCAATGCAGCAACCCCTGAGGCTGATGGGGCGGAAGGCTTCCTTGGCAGGGCTCCATCTCTGCACTTAGGAGAGGGGAGAAACCCTGGTCTCTGCTGCTGTTGCTGGCTGTGCCCTGGATGGAGCTGGCCCTCCAGCCCCCTTCCTAAAGCCCCTTCCCAAAGGCTCGGGACTCCTGCATCAGAGACTTGGGGGGAGAAGCTCAGAGTCCCCATTGCTTCCCTCTGCTTCCGGCATGGGCCTCAGGGCTCACCTTCTGCCTGGGCCTTGAGTTCCTCTCACCCGCAGGGGGCCAAACCCAACCATTGAGCCGGGGCTTGTGCATCTGCTGTGTGCATCCCCCTCCTCCAATCCCCGGCGTGGCTGGATTTGCCTGGAAAATCTACTCAAAGGGGGCGGGGGGGAACCGTGCTCTGGCCCCAGCTTTGGGCTCCCTGGCTTTGGGGCCCTACGGCAGAAAAAACATTCCCTGCTTACCGGCAGACTTGTAAGATCTCTGTCCATGTTCGGCTCATCAAGTCAAAACAGATCATCCAAGAACCAAGCCTGGAAAGGGGGCTTAGCTCTCATCAGATGCCCCTCATGTCTTACTTCAAAGAGCCACACCAGAGACACCTGGGGGCACTGCAGAGGGCGCTAAATGCCTGGCACCTGTGGGGGCAGAGGGCACTTCTTCCTCGCCTGAATGTGAGCAGGGGCTTCCTAAGGACATTAAAATTTGCCGACGGAAACTCCCTGATGCACAAAAGCACCCTGCCCATCAGATGTCCAAGCAAGGGCCGGTATTGCTGTAAATAATGTTTTTTTTTGGGGGGGGGGAAATCAAGCTGCAAATTCCAGTCAGCAGGAATTGACAGAGGCCCATTCACAGCACAAAGTGGTCTGATCTAGCCACGGGGTACTTGCCCTCCCCGTGCTGCCTTGGCACTGCCCCCGAAGTGAGCTCCCCAAGCCATGGCAGTCACCCCTTAAATCAGGGCACGGGTAGGCAACCCTCCCTGTCCCATTGGCCCTGTTGCTCTACCCTGTCCGGAGCCCCCCTGCCTTTATGTGTGTGGCAGCAGCAGGAGGGCTCTGCCAGGCCTGCTGGTTGCCCCAGTCTGCCCACGATTCTCCTCCCGCTTTCTGGCACGTGGCTCCTTTGCCAGCCTTCAGGGTGAATTGCCTGCAGCTTCAAACACTCCTGAGATGTGAAGGTTTCCTCCGTCCTCTGCTTGAGGCTCCCAGACAACAGGGACTGGCAACATGGGCTAAGCTGGGCGGGCCAGGAGACAAGCCAAAAGGCCCCGCCCCACCTGGGCCTGATGAGGGCCTTTCTGTGGGGCAGAAGGAGCCTGGCTCCCCACCTGAAGGGTCCGGCAGAGGCCATGTAGGCAGGGCCTTTCGCTCTCGGGGGCAGTGGGGAGGGCACAGCCAGCAACGGCGCTTGTGGCACCCATGGAATGTAAAAGGGGGCGTTTCGCAGGGGCTGAGCAGGGCCAGTCTACAGTGTCAGCCCCCTGCTTTGGGGCACAGATCCTGCTGCCTTCCCTTGGGGGAGCAGTGAGCCCCGTCGCTTGGATGCTTCTTACCGGCGACGGGACTTTCAAAGACGCTTCCAGGGACCCCCAAAGCAACCTGCTTTTTGTGGCTGCTCCGGCACTGAAGCTGAAGCCCAGCAGAGGAAACCTGCCTGCCTCACCTGAGAAGTTGGCAGAAGCTCCAACAGGTGATGCACACAAGGTCTCCCTTTGCAGGGTTGGGGAGAAAAGTAGGGTGATGTAGCGGAACGGCTGAAACAGCCAAAATGGCTGCCTGAACGTCAATGACCTCCCTCATTGTTTGGCTGTTAGCTGCAAGGCCCCGGGTGAGCCTTGAGACTGATGAGCTTCTGGAAGCTTCCCCACCCCCCAAAGTCCCATGCTCCTCTCAAGATGGGGCTCCGGAATCCTCTGCCTCCCACTCCCCATTCAGCAGTTGCTGCTCTGATTTAGTTCCATTTCTGCTCCCTCCTCTGGGTGTTTTTAACCCTCTCTGGATCACCTGTCCAGAGCTGGATCCCAAAGCGCTGATCCCTCCTGCATCCAGGCTGAGCCTCACAGAGAAGCCCGGATTTCTGGCATTCAGCACCCCAGGAAGGAGAAAGGGGAGAGCCTCTCTCGCCTGTCCGTAGGCCTTCAGAGGGAAGTTTGCACAGCAGATGGCCGCATTTCTTTAGCACGGCTAATCTTGTTGAGCAGCCCATCCCTAAATCCAAGGTCCCAACGGATCCTGGAGCCCTTGAGTAGATAGAACATGTACCCATTTAATTGGCAGCGAGGCTCTGCACGGTCCTTCTCTTTCATCCAGCCAGCTCTCCTCTGAAGCAAGCACTGATTGCCTGTTGCTTTGTTCAGAAGCCCCAGTGAAGCCGAGAGGAAGTGGAGGAAGAGCCGGCTGGGCGTTCAGAAACAAGACAGGCAGCTGGCCTTCAAAGAAGCCACCGGGGAGGGGGGAGCAGCACCTCCCTTGGCCTGCGGAGAGAGCCCAGCTGCCCCCTCCAGCTGCAGACCTCAGGGCCTCCAGAGAAGCCCTGCTGCAGGCAACCGAGATATTGGGGAGGGGGGCTGGTTCCAAGCTGGGGGTACCGCTTAAGCCCTCCTGCCCAGGGGCAGATCTAGGTTGCCTCGCAGGTGGATCAGTCAGCTTAAGATTTGTCTGTCCGCTTTGTGAAAGGGAGGGAGAAAAAGGCTCGGAGCCTGGAGCAAAAAATCAATATTGAAATATCGCTCTATTTTCAGGGGAGCCGGCTGTCTTTGCCGATGTTAACAGCCACGGAAAATCACTTTGGCTGATGTCCCAAAGGGCTGCGTGGCCTGACATTGATAAAGTTACCATTTCATGCCAGGCATTATTTAGAAATCCCGAGAACCCAGAGCGACGGGGCAATAGGTCTGCCGTGCTCCATGAGCCACCTGCCCCGCGGTGCCTCTGGCTCTCTTGGAGATGGGAAATAGTTGTGGCCTTGTCCAGCCGCTGGGGAGGGCTGGGGGGGCTCCCTGGGCAGCCAAATCTTTGGTCTCGTCACCTGCGAATATCTGTCAAGAGCCCAGAGCTGCCCTCTGGGAGAGGGGCAGTGACACACATTTGATTAATCAATTAATCCATCAGTCATCCCAGAGGCTCAGCCCACGCAAGGGGGCTTCCTGCCTGCCGTACCCCTGCCCGCAACAATTCCAGCGCAGGGCATGGTCCTTCCAATGCCCGCCGGTCCTTGAAATCATGCCACACAGGCTCCTCTGCCCCCACTCCCCAAATCTGGCCCTCGGTCCACCCACTGAAGGCTTCCCAAGGAAGCTGCCTGTCCCTTCCGGATCGCAATTTGCTGCATCCAGCATATGGGTCACGATGAGGTGGATTAAAGCTCCACTGAAGATGAGCTGCATGGCTTACTTTGAGGAGATTATCTCTGACAGTGGATCTAATTAACAACCCCCCTCCCCCACTCCTTGGGAAGAAGATAGTTGGGGAGGGGTAGAGAAAGGGGCTTTGGGGGAAATCAATGACGTCCCCTCCCACTTGGCTTGGCACACCAAAACCCAAGCTGACCAGGAGGGGCAAATGGGCGTCTCTGCTTTGTTATCTACAGGGGCAGCGGAAGCTCGACATGGCCCATCTTGTGGCCGGTTGCAGATAAAGAGTGAGGGTACCGCTGGGGGGGGGGAGGCGTGGGTAAATGTGTGCGCTTGAAAGCCACCCCTCCCACCAGAAAATGGCTGTCCTTAGCCTGGAGAGAACGTTTGCCTTAACCCAAGAAAGCTGCCCAGATCCAGAGGGAGAAGCAGAAATAAAGAGCCAAGAAACCTTTTGGGCATCTCTTGTCTGTCCTTACCCACCTACCTACCTACCTCTCTCCCTCCCTCTCTCTCTCTTTCTCTCTCCCTCCCCCCTCTCTCTTTCTCTCACCCTCCCCCTATCCCCCCCTCTCTCTTTCTCTTTCTCTCTCCCTCTCTCTCCCTCTCCCTATCTCTATTTCTCTCCCCCCCCTCTCCCCCCTCTCTCTTTTCTCTCCCTCTCTCTCTCCCTCCCTCTCTCTCTCTCTCTCTCTCCCTCTCTCTCTGTGTGCTGCACTATGAAAAAGAAAGAGAAGGCTGGACACCCTCTGCCTCTTAAGAAAAGATTCTTCTACCTGCTCAGCTTCCACAGGCTTTTAGCAGCAAAGGGCTCCTTGGCTTCCGGCATCTTAACAATTAACACATTTCCTTCAGCCAAAGCCTTTCTGGC